GCTCAGTCTCCATTTCACTCACCTCTCTTTTAGTGACAGCTTGTTTCTGGAAACAGGAAAATAAAAGCAAAGCAAGATGTCTTTTTTGCACTAGTGTGAAAGAAGAATTAGTTTTTATCTTGAGTGATATTTTTTTATTTTGTTTTATGTAGTCCCCCCCCCAATCCCCCCACAAACTCGCTCAGAATCAACAGTACAAGCATTAACATACAGAGAAAGACTCAGCAGGGCCCCATTTTTAACCCTTCCATCCTTAGAATGGGTTTCATTTTTCTTGCATCACTAGATCTTGAGACTGAACCCCCCCCTCCCTGGAATGAAATGGACGCCCCTCCACACCCTTTTTGATTTGTTCCTCCAGATGATCTTGTTTAGTAGTTACCCAAAGTTTCTCTCTCTGTCCTCGATTGTGAGGAAGACGAGTCCTATTATTGAATTTTCTGAGTTTTGGGATGCATTTCCTGCAGATTTTTCTCTAAAGGAAGTGATGCAAGGTTTAAAAACTTGAAAGACGATGTTGGTTGCTACATTTTATTTTTTAACTTCTATTTCAAATCTTTAGCTTTTGTTTTCTAGGTTTGCTTTTGTTTTTCCTTGTATTTTATTTTATGTTTTTTTTTTTGTCTGTCGGTGGAAGTGAGCATAGCGTGCTTCACTTCCATGTCGACACAGAGGGATCTCCGGTCAGACGTCATCGGTGCCTGACTCTTGGCAAGGAGACTCCTTTTATTGGTGCTGTTGGTAAAAATTACTGTATAACAACGCAAAAAGTAAAAAAAAAAAAACAAGAAAAAAAAATAAAAAAAGTTTGAGGGGGCTGTTGGCGCCTGCTCCCCCCCTCTCCCTACAGGTCAGAAAGGCTTTCAGGCTTTTCTGGTTCTAGATGTGCAATCGTGTTAACATTCCATTCTTCCAGTCCTCTTGTTTCATCTGTACCAGTAAACATTAATTATTATATTATTTAGTTGTTTTTTTCCCCCCATTTGTTGAGCTGATGTTTTATCTCAAGTAGAGCCACTAGTTAATGAGTGTAAAATGTGAAATATACATTTTTCTTTCTTTGCTTTTTGCCTTTTGTTCCCCCCTTTTTTTCCCCCACCAGATACACAAGTAATTTTTAGAGAGAAGAAAAAGTCCAATACAAACAAACGTCAACTTTTTTGTACATATATCCTGTAAATTTCTTTAAATACTTGAGCCTTTTTTTTTCCTGAGGTTAAGTAAGAAAGAAAAGGAAGGAGAAGAATGCAGAAGAGAGTTTTCCAGAGAGGAGAGTGCTTGATGAAGAAAAAGCCTTACAATTCCCTTTCTTCATCTGTGTGAGTTTGATGCTTACAGGGTTTTGCTCTGGTAAATGTGTATAAAAATTTTAAGTGCTGCTTATATCATTAAGAAAGAAGATATCGAGTAGCCAATGATTGCCCCCACCCTCACACACACACACACACACACACACACCCTACACTCACCCCCCTCCCATTCTTCTTGAACCTAGTTTTGTTTGTTTAGCTTTACTTTTTTAAAGAAAAGGGAAAAAAAGATATGTTGACAAAAAAAGGGGTTTTTACATTTTCATTACTGAAAATTCAACAAAAATGTAGTAGCTACTCATGTTGCACTGAGCTTGCCAGTGGTGACTGTCAAGGAAAAATCCTATAATCCAGTTTGTCGGTATTTGTCCCTTGCAGAAGACTGAACTGTTTTAGGACTATTTAAAGAAATACCAAGGTGTTTTCAGCTTAAAAAGTGGTTGTCAAGTTTTTATGGCCTTACAATATATTTTATTCTTACGGGGTTTTTTTTTTGTTTGTTTGTTTTTTTGTTTTATTGCTTAGTTCTCGTTGGTTTTTCTTCCATTTTCTACAGTACAAACTACTTGCTCACAATGGGATATCTGGTGACTTAATTTATTAAAGCCGCTTGTCTGCCTTTCCTCTCATTGGGAAAGAGTTTCATGTTGGTTATATTTACAGTTTTTTACTTTTGCAGTTTGTACTTAAGGTTTAATAAAAACTTACAGACAATTCACTGTCAGTACTTTCCAACCTACCTGTGTCTTGGTTCTTTGTGTCGGGATTTTTCATGTCTAAACCGATTTTACTGCCTTCAAATTTTTATGCATCTGTTTGAAGTTCAGCGACATTTAAATGGAGCCTAATATTCCATAATTACAAAGACATTCATATCTTCAAATTGAGTTTTTCTTGCTTAATTTAACATGTGTAATAAAGAAGGAAATCACAAACATCTGGATTAATTTCATATGAAAACTGTCATTTATTTATGTCAAATGGCCAGAAGAACCAAAGTTCAATAAATTACTACGATTAATCTTTAAATCTGATCATTTAAAATGAAGGTAATTGTTAGCATACATTTATTGATTACATTTTAGAAGTTTTGGGAGAAAATTTTAATTTGAATTGATACAAACCTGCCTTTAAATATTTGCTTGTGCTGCTATTAAAATGGTGAAAGAATATAAATTCATTGAGTGCAATTTAGCAAACCCTTACATCTGATAGGTTAACCTGGACAGAAAAACTGCAAAAACATCTGAAAATCCAGATTTTTAAGCTAATTTTACGACTGCAGTGACATTGAACTACAAGAGAGACATATCAGCTACCCAGACCTTAAAAAAGGAAATCAGTTCAAAACACGAACAGATAAAAAGTTGCCAAAAACGTATATTTTGGTTGACAAAAGCTAAATAGTTAAAATGCAGACACTAGGAAACCAGCAGCAAAATAAGATGTCCTCTTATGAGCTATAAAGTAAACAGAAACCCACTCACTCCATTAACATGCAATGTTTGTCAGCTGCCCCAGTAGCTCTTTAAACTTTAAAGCGTACTGAGTTTCACTGTCGCACATCAGCTTTGACTGTTTACTATGCAAAATAAACCCACACAGAAACTTTGGGCCTCCAAGACTTTTACTCTGACTGTTGTGTTTGTAATAATGTCTTACATCTCTGGCGAAAAACCGAAGAAATTATACTTGCACAGTAAAGAAAATTTGCGGTCTAAAAATGTCTGTATCCATTCATGCAGGACAGTCCATCAAATTAAAGGGGAGTGGCGCCCTACTTTAGGGCATAGAGCTTGCAATATTGAGGTGTTGAGTTCGAAACCCACTCCCAGAGACTGCCACTCTGGGTATATGAGCAAGACCCCGATTGATCCCCAGACGCCCCATGATTGCAGCCCATTGCTCCCCAAAAAAATGCTCAGAGGAAACCCGATTCTCTCTTGAGCAGAAACCTTTATTAACAAGTCAGCAAAATTAAACAGAGGGAAAGAAAAGGAAGGGATAATGTATTCATGTTGCACAAATTTGAGCATATCTTGACCAAAAAACAAAACAAGGATTGGGATACGATTTAACCTTCAGGCTAAGGTTCAGCACACAGTCCAGGATGGAAACTTGGTCCCACTTTAGAGGACATATGTCAAAAATGTCAGACTATGGATAATAATTTATCTGAGCATGTGTCCATAAAATAAGTGCAACATTTACAAGGTTGTCAGTAGTACAGTCACTGGAATACAAGTAGAAATTTGACACATTAAAATCGTAAACATTAGTCTGATAATTAATTTCTGTATAGAAAGTGAAAACTTCTTGTAACCCCTGCAGCTCATGAATCAGCTCTATTTGTCTAAATTTGACCTAAAATTGAATTTATACCAGCACAGAAATGGATTTCATTTAATCTGTTTAAACAAAGGGTTATGGATTCTTTTACTCAATCGGGACACACATCCTGCAAGGATGAGCTACAAAAAGTAAAGCTGCATGTGGTTGTTTTTACCAATTTAACAGCAAGGCTGTAGATTTGTCTTTAAATATAGGTGATTAAGAGAAATATGGCTTAGCTTTTTAAACTAGTTTGTTTCTAATAAAGGAAGTTCAGCATTTCACAATTCTCCTGTGGCTTTAGGTAGTTTATTTCATTAAAACACAGGAGGTAAAAACACTGTTATATACTTAGTAAAAGTTCCAACAATGAAAGAACAGCTTCAGGATTTATACACAATAACATTACCTTCAAGCAGACATGGCCCTAGTTAGTTTATTTGCTTTATCAGGAGGTTTTGTTCACAGATGGAGAACATCAGGATTCTCACAAATCCTCTGATCCAGATTTTAATGTTATTTTGGATTTCTCTTGAACGTTTTTAGAACATTTAAGAAAAGGACAAAGCAAGGTTTTGATTGGTGGTGTCCTATTGCGGCTATCCATTTCAGATTCTATATTACTTAGATTTTTGAAATAAAAGTAGTTCTATTTAAAGCATCATCTTTGATCATTTCTGCCTTTATTCATTTTGTGATTTTACTTTCATCTTCCTCAGTTTAAGAACCACTGTTGTGTTAAAATTATTTTTATTCATCATGTGGTCTATGGAGATTCAACCACTAAAATACTGATGGCTAAAATAATGAACTGAATTTGTAAGGGTAGCAAATCAGAAACAATATAATCTAAAACTAGTTGCATCTGAAAAAAAATATAAATAAAAAAATGATTATGTTAAACTATAATATAGTTTCCTGTCAGAGAGATATTAATTTTGTTTACTACTGTCCTCACTATTATTTACAGCTAATGAAAACCCAAAATAGAACTTCTGAAGATTGTAATATTAGATAAGACCAATAAAAACCTATATTTCACACAGAAATGTTTTAACCCCCAACCAACCCCCTCCCTCTCTGTCTCTCTCAATATAATTGATAGATATGGTAATGGTTTAAATAGTGCTGGATCCAAGCATATTAAATAACATTTAGTGGAAGTAAAAACTGCAGCAGAACATTTATAAATTGCAACTTTAAAAGGATCTTCTAAATCCCCCAGACGGATCTTATGATTTCATCCATGCCACTGATACAATAAATGGTGCAAAATAAACCCAGACGGATTACTGAGATCATACTCTGACAGTATAGATATCGTTTAGTAGATGGCATTTATGTGATGGAGATTGATTTTTTTCTTTAAATCTTCTGGTCTTTAGTCTGTAGGAGTTTTCTAATTGATTTACTAAAACAAGTTATGCAATAGTTAAAAAGTCCATGTATTGGAATTCCAACAACTTGTTTTTAAAACCTAAAAAAAGAATTAGAGAAACTCTCATCCTTTTTAGGACTTGTCAAGATTATGCAGAAATGCTAACAAAAAAAACTGATTCTGGTTGTCTGAAAAACCCGATTATTTTTTTGAACGGGGGCAAAAACATCTTTAAAAATATTAAATCCGATTGAACTGGTCTCTTAAGGCAAGTTTATGTGGCAGTTAGTGCAACCTCAGTGTTACCTTGTGCAGGAAATGAACATTTTCTTGGGAAAAAGAGCCATAGAATAGAATATATATCTAAGTTTGATTTGGCAGCTGTGAGGGTTTACCCTTCAAACCGAGTCCAACTTTCCTCAAACCTGCTGCCTCCTCTCCTCACAGTCTCGATTGCTCTGATCATCCTCTCTCTCTACTAATGCAGTGTCTGCATGGACCTCCTCTTCATCCAGGGTCACTACTACAGGGGCCTTTCTTCTCCTTCCTCCTCCTACAACACCCCCTCCTCCCTGCTCTGCCTCCTCCTCCTCCTCATCATCCTCCCCGGCCTCAGTGTCCTGGCTGGCTGAATCTGTGCAGGTGGATGACAGCGACGAAAGCTTGTGTCGGAGTTCGGCCTGAGTGGGAACCTGTAGGCTGATCTCGGTTGTAAAGGACTCCACATCTGGACCTTGAGGATGATAGAAAGATTTAAATACGTAAGCTGTGACAGTCCAGAAACTCCTGCAGAATGAATAGGAGACGTTTCCTCTTTAAACAATTCAGACATTTAAAATTTTATTGGAGTAATCAGCATTATTCACTTTCAACCTGAAGAAGGGATATAAAAACAGTTCATTCTACCTAAATTATCTTCCATTTTGTCAGCGTAGAGCAACATCTTTATAATATTTTATGTAATTCTTTTAACAGAAATGGGTTCATCCTAAAAATACTTAGTATAGTGAGTGTTTGTATTAGGATCCTTTTTACTATGCTACTGAAACATGAAATCGACTGCAAACAATTTATCTCCACAGGACGCCTAATTGGTTAATGAAAAAAAAAAAAAAAATACATATCCCACAGAGTGTTCAAGTTCTTATCCAAAAATACAAAGAATTTAGTACAAGACTAATTCTACCAATGTATGGCTGACCACCTAACTCAGGCATGCCCAAAGTCGGTCCTCGCGGGCCGCTGTCCTGCAGGTTTTAGAGGTTTCCCTGCTTCAGCACAGTTGATTTACATTGATATCTGATTAACAGGCTTTTGCTGAACTGCAATCATCAGAATCAGCTGTGCTAAAGCAGAGAAACCTCTAAAACCTGCAGGACAGTGGCCCTCGAGGACCGACTTTGGGCATGCCTGACCTAACTGATCGGCTGAGTCAGGGGAGCATTAATATGAGAAATCTGCCAAAAGTCATAAAGCAGACAGAGAACACACATGAAGAGGAAAGTGCTCAGATTAAAAAAAAAAAAAAAAAAACACAAAACAAAGTTTTATATGATGAGTAACATATTTTAGATCCTTCAAAAGCCTGGAGCCACCACCATCACCTTACAATTTAGGCCTAGTCAAAGTCAAGATCTGATAAACTGATGTTGAAAATGGTTTTTGAAAACTAATGCTTTTTATTTGTCCATCACAAAACAATTAAAATACCTAAAGTTTGATCAAATGTTAAAAAGGAAATGTTTACGAGTGTGTTGCATTGTGGTATATGAGAGCAACACATAGTTTATACTGTAGCATAATTTCGAAATATTTAGACAACTCCTGTAAAGTCTCCAAGTTGTACTGTTTACCTGTGACGGGTGAGGCGGCGCTGTTGTCCTCTCCCCCAGAGTGCAGGAACACATCCAAAGCCTCATGATCAGACATGTCCATCAGATCCATCTGCTCCAGCATGTCCACGTTCACCTCCATGGATGACATGCTGCCTATTGGCTCTGAACACAACAGACCACAGTCAGACATCTGCAGCCATCAGAGGAGAGAGAATTCAGTAGCAAGGAGTCCAGGAAGAAAAGAGCTTAGCTCTAAGTTTACTCCACAAAAACTAATGCAGAAGGCACACAAAAGCTAAATAGTGTTTAAAATGGGAAAACATGTATGATTTATTAAAATAACGAATATACTGGAAGCCAAATGCAATCGTGCAGTAAATAGATTTACATGTGTGATGCTGTGTAGGGTGTTTTTTTTTAAGATGAGAACAAGTAGGATAATGGCTTGTTACCAGAGTGGCTACTTGATACATTGAAAATGGTGACAAACATAGACCATGAAGAAGCAATTCATACGGATGACATTTTATTAGCTTCAAAATTATTTTCTTTTCCTTCTAAACTGTTTTCATTAGAAAATGTTGGATTTAGGAATATAAAATTCTATTGGAATATTATTGTTCATAGAAAATGGACCAAGATTAGGGTTACCACATTTTCATGTTAAACCAAGTATTAGTTAAAAGATGGATGGATGGATAAATGGTTAGACAGAAAGATGGATAGACTTTAAACATGGAATAAATTCGGTGAATTCTATTTCTTTTTAGTCTATTCTCTGGTTTAAACATGTACACAGAAAAAAAACTTCTCTGGAGGCTTAGGAACCCTAAAGGTTTCCCTAGAGCAGACATTTAATCCAAAATTAATGGATGGTCAAAAGTGCAAAAAACAGCGTCTGCCGCCACCAGTCTGAAATGACCAGAGCTGTTTTAAGTGTTTTAATTTGATCCCAGCCCTGCTTTGATTCCACTTAGATTAGCCATGAGGTCAACTTAAGGTTCCCAAAGCTAAGAACTTTAGGAGATTTCTACACCATGTGCAATCCAAAATGTTGGCCATGCATGCACATTTCCAAACATTTCCAGACATGCAATTAACAGTAAGTAGTTAAGGAACAAAAAATATGTACTTATTGTTTGCAATAGTGGTTAGAATCAAGCTTCTCTTCCAATGTATAAAATAAACATTATTAAAACAATGCAATTATATGAAAGAAAGCTTTTCTCGGAGCTTGTTTTAATACTGCTACACTGAAGCAGCTATAAAGAGTTATTATCACATCAAAGATGTAATTGCTTATCAATTTATGTCCAGGCTTCATCTGTGTATCCTCTGCTATCTGGCTGAATGTTTTCAGCAATCCAAATAACAGCAGGGAATGCTGAAAAAAACATAGATTTTAGTTTTTGCACTGTGACTTAGTGAGCTTCTGTGGAGAATAGCTCAGAATAAGGCAGTGAAGGTGACAAATTATGACAAAGTCCTGAAATATTCAAAGCTGTGACTTTAGCAGATTAGCAGAGTCATTAATATGATGTGTGAACTGCCTGGAAGGGATAATAGATTCTGGTAAAACATATAAAACTAACAGACATATGTGAAATTGAACATAGAATCATTCTTTACAGATAATTTTCTCTGGGATTCACCACCTTGCAGGAGTGCAAAGCCCCCCCCCCCTTACCCATCAGGTTTTTATAATGGTTTAGCTGCATGCATCACAAACACCAAGTGCTTGCACTGGTAGGATGGGGTGGGGTGCAGTTAGCAGGGTAGGAAGGCAGCGGGGGGGGTAGCGGAGTTGGGAGTTGTGAGCACAGGAGGAAGAAGCGAGATGATTGGCTGTTACAACAGGAGTGATAGAAGATGCCATTACCTCAAGGAAAAGGAGGAGAATAGAAGAGGGCAGCACAGGGAGAGAAAAGAGTAAAAAAGGAGAGGGGGAACAAGAAAGAAAAAGAGTGGGGGTGTTATTTTCAATAGAGGCTGCCTAAAGTCTCCTGCCCTTTAAACTGTAGCACAAACACACAGTTATTACACCATAGAATGCCACACTGGATGAATTCAAATCACTACTGCATGCATATTGTCTTCCTTTACTCCATTCTTCACCAATATGGGGTTTCTTATTAAGCATTTGTTAAAAGAAACACATCTAATTCATCCTAATAGATGCTTAGTATCTGGTATATGGATGATAGATTCCACCCTGCAGAGTTCCCAGCACTGGAGCATGGATAAAAACCAGGACGATTTGTAATGTTGAAAAGGTTTTGTTTCTCTCCACTGAATACATCTTTTCCATGAGATAGCCCGCAGCACACACCTCTGTTAGCCTCGATACGACCTTCCCTGAAAGCGTTCTCCTGCTGGAATGGGCTGTCATTTTCTACAGAATAAATCTGTCTGTTTGTTGTACGACAAAGAAAAAAAGTCTTGTTTCTGGTGGCTCTCTGGGTTATTGCATCCGGTTTGAACAGGGTTCCTTCCATATCAGCTTCACAGACTCAAAGTTCCACATTTGGGCAACTTAGGGGCATCAGAGTAGAGGGGGGTGAACAGACATGCCGACCATTCTTTTTGTGGATCTTTGATTTGGAAAAGAAACATGTTTAACTAATTTTTGTTTTTTTTTACTCCACTGCTCAATTTTGTGCTTCTTTTTTATGGTCTATTAGATACTCCCCTTAGTACTTAGTATGGATGACAATGTATCTTATATGTTTAAATTGGTAGCAAAGAATTATTGTTTAGTTAGATAAACCTCACCTTTATTTTCTTAAATTCTTTCAAGGCAGTTTGCTTAGATTTCGATTAGATGAAAAGAAGCACTTTACTAACAACAAGCAGCTTTTGAGTGACAGTGAAAAACCTAAACCCCACAGATTTCCTCCGTCCTTTATCCCTAAGTCTCTCTCCTCCGGCTCCATCTCTCTTTCCACGCTGCTCCACAATCTTCGTTCATAAAGCAGTTCCAGAGGATTAACGGAGGAGGATAAATGAGCAAAAGAGAGAGGAGAAAAATCACATTCCCAACCACAACAGAGTCTGCAACATCCTTTAACTCCGGATCTTTGAGGCTTCGAGCTTCTGCATTTTGGGAATTTAATCTGACTTTTGGTAGACAAATTTAGTGTAAACAGCAGTATGATTCTATTGCAGTCCTACAGCAAGACTATATATTCATATGGTATGATGACAGTCTTCAAAAATAATGTAGACAAAGTCAAACAACAGTTTGCAGCAGAGCATAAATGATGAATTCTTTTTTCTTCTCACCTCTCCTCTCAGTGATCTGCAGGTAACCCGTAGACAGGTACTGCTCCATGTCTTGTTGAAATGCCTCCTCAAAGAACTTCTGTCTCTCTTTCAGCTTCACCTGGGGCGTTGGCACCCCTCCCTGTTCGGCTCCAGGGACTTTCTGTGAGTGCTCAGCATCCAGCTCCACTGGAAGCAAAAGAGAAGTCATGCAAGTCAACTATTTCTAACATGTATCACCTAGAAGAAAATAAAATATCATCATAGTGCAGCTCACTCAAACTGGGGGAAACAGGAAAACTTGTTGTGTTATTTAAACATCTTTCATTACTCAGAGGAAGATTCAGGAATTCAGATTTTTTGAGTTGAGGTCAGTCGTTAATGAAGCAGAACAATGTGAAGCTTTCAGATATTCTCTAATTCATCTACTGCTGGCTGCACAGGAGGGACCACTCTGACTGCCATCTGGAATGAGTAACCCTCGCTGCAGCAAACACATAAACCAAGAACAAGATCCTGCTGTGCTTTTCCTCTGAGGGGCGGAAACATCAAAACTCTGTCTGTGCTGTTGAGCAGCACAGACATCTACTGAGGAGGTTTAACAGGCCCTGGATACACATTAGCCTTCAGATCAGAGTTGTCTACCAGTACTGTACATCACACTGAGCCTGGTTCTGTTGGAGGTTTCTTCCTGTTAAAAATTGAGTTTTTCCTCTCCACTGTCGCTACAAGCATGCTTAGTGTGAGGGATTGCATTCGAGTCAATGAGTCGATGCAATCAACTGATTTTCCTTGGATAGAAAACTTTAAATCAATTTGACTGTACGATCTGGTGAACTGTAAAGTGCCTTGAGATGGCGTATGTTGTGAATTGGCGCTATAGAAATAAACTGAATCGAATTGAATTAAATATGGGAGGGGCTTTGATTAGCCCACTGGAATGTAAAAATATGCTTTGCTTTGGCTTTATGGTGTGTTCAGTGGGATGTGTTTTAGTTGTACCTCACAAGTTATTTTGCATACAAGTCTAATATTTTCCTGCATAGTTTATTGCACGCTGCACATGGGACTTCTTATGGATTTCTTTTTAACCTAACCTTTCCATACAGGTTAGTTTAAGAAAGCAACAAAGTGTTTCCTTCACCTGAGCTGCAGATATCTGCAGCTTCTCCAAAGTTACCATGAACCCTTTGGCTGCTTCTCTGAATAATGCTCACTTTATACAGCCTGTCAGTTGGTGTGAGGCTCTACCATTCTCTGTCCTTTCTTGAGTGATTTTAACAGCACTCTGATTTAAAATTTTCAATAACTACTCCTCATCTATTGGCTACCACCCAATAAGCTGTTGTTCACTTTTCTCCAAAAAATCACTGAGTCTTTCACAGAAGATACACATTGAGATTACACTTTCTACACAGAAGCCCTATTTACAAATCGGGTGGGATCAAAAGGAAATTGGCTGGACTGGATTTCATGAAGGGCTATAAGAGTAAAATGAGCTAAATATGTTTGCAAAGCACAGTTTTGTATTTTAATACATAAATCTTTTAAGAAAACTATTAATTATATTATTGCATTTGTGTTTTTTCCCCTTTTAAATTAAAGTGGTGCATATTATTATTGATAAATTTAGTTGAGAAATTAAGCATAGGGCTAAGTAACTAATGGGAGTGGGAGGAGGGATTTACTCTCCCTAATGCTTTGTGACACGATGGAAGCATGACTGTGCCAGTCGTGAGCGTCGGCACTGATGCAGCCTGGAGTCTTGGATGGGATGTCACTTTTTCTCTCTCAACTTTTCTCTGACAGACTAGCTTTACGTAAGACCACCCACTCACTGTGCTCTTTAAATGGTGTGTATATAAAAGAACATTATAAGACCCATACATTATCCTGATTTAGAATGGACCAAAAGATTTCAGAATATAGAGGTAACCTGGAGCCATGTGCATTTCCATTCTACAGTGTCCTCCTCTCTCCTACTGCAGCATCAGAGACTGAACACCCTGACGTAGGACAGAGTCCTGATCGACCGTGGGCTGTAGCAGCAGATGGAAACACACAAAACCAAATAATGAGCCCCCATAAGATCCCCCACCAGAGTTCCTCAGAGAATAGCGCTCTTCTTTCTCTCTGTCACTTCTTACCCAGCGTCCAATTTATCTCATTCATCTGATGTTTCATGTTTGTCCCTCGTCTTTTCTCCATGACTCTGTCCTGCTTGGCTGGTGCGTCGGTGTGTGTGGCTCACAGAGACTGCTCTATTAGATTAAGGGCCTCAGGGAAGCTTTGTTAAGACTGTCAAGCATTGTGCAGGGTTAGTAGCAGCGGAAAGAGAAGGCATAATGGAAAAAGAGACCAGTGTGGTTATTTATAATTAGGGCTTGTAGACAGACAGTAATAACAGTAGAGTTGGATTCTGGGTTTGATCTTATTTGTCTGTAATGTAATTCTCAATCCATTACTTTCCTTCACCGACTATTTACTCAGGTCTTTGTTCATGCCGACTAAATTCAAACTTCTATTTATTTGTCTGCCAGTCTGCACCACATCCTCTTGTCTCGCATTAAAGCCAAAAGTTATGCTGTGGCTGTTATTAATTGTTTGATGCAACATCAATAAAGCAAAACAAAAGGCTAAGCAGGTTTTAACAGTTTATAGTAATATGTTGTTACTGATGATTGGGGTAGTATAAAAGTTTTTTTTTTTGTTTCTATTGGTTCAGCTTAACCTGGATGTAGTCAGATTAATATGTGTAGAACTGAGTTGAGTTCTATGGTATGAATCTGGGATGGCTGATGTTCAGTCTGCATGTCACCCAATCAGCTCTTCTTGGATCTGATTGGGTGACGTGCAAGCTAGTACCCGCCTTCCATAATACACTTTCAGCCAAATTTCAGTGACAAAGGTTTTGTCTTGGTCGTCCATGAGAGGCACAGATGGGGTCACGGCGATCACAATAGGATTTAGCTTCTTGAGTGTTTTCACAACTAGAGGAATAAGCTGATAAATCAAACTTTTTCCAAATCCCGTCAGAAAAAAAGAACAGATATCTTTCCCTTCTACAAATGCACAAAGTGCTTCCCTTTGCTCCTTTTTTAAACGAGAAACTGTTGCTATTTTAGCCAAAACCGAGTCAGTTGGGGTAACGACAGATAAGTCCTCCAGCGTAGCCATGTTTGCAATGCCCTGGCAAGGCCCTTCTGACTGTCGTCATTCCTGTTCCGCTCCGAAAAACACTGCTGGCGTGCCTTTGGTCCAACCTGCTGGTGGTTACGAGACGGAAGTATTAGCGATTATTTCAAGATGGATTTGTTGTGAGACTGAAAACTCAGATCTCGTGATAATCCGGCTTTGAGTGTAAGGTTAGATTCAGGTATGATCAGCCAATTTTTCTCAGATTTTGAGGTGTAAACAGGACTCTTTAGATTCTAAAGAGTCGTATCAAAACAGAGAGTATAGCCTGTCTGTACACAACGTCTTATGAAAACTGTTTCAGCAGATGAAGACATACAGTATTTTGATTGAAATCTGGCGCTATTTTTGTTAATCTTTTGGAAAAAAAGCAGAAACAAAAGGTTAATAAATGTCACCCATAAAAATACAGACCATAATAATACTGCTAAAATGTAGCATTTTAACTCCACTCCAAAGCCTTTTATCTATCAGCACCTCATGATAAGATCATGTTAGTTCTTGACAAACCATATTTAAACTTTCATTTCTAATATTAACAGCGAGCTTCATGTACTTATTCCCTCCTTCCTTCCTTTTGCCTTAGCAGCATCACAAACCACACAGCTACGTACATCCTCCTACACATCGTGCTCTGGTCACAGGAGCTATTTTTAGTTTCCACCTATTTAGCCTAAAGTTTGTGCTGATGAATTTCAAATAAGAGCACAAGTAAGCGTTTCTCCAAGGTCCAAGAATTTCTGCAGATGTAGCTGGGCCGCAGCTGTCTTCATGTGTCTATTTCTAATTTATACAAATTGTTGTAACCGCCTCCTCCTCATCATCACTGGCTCACTTGACAGTGTTATCGACTTGTATGACATGAGTCACGTGCGCAGTTGTGAACACGTGTTCACTGAGGAATACACATCTGAGGGTGATTCAGAGAGACTGGGCTGCATTGTTTTAGTCACAGCAGATGATGTCAAAACAAATCAGCCTGATTAAAGAGGAGAAGATGGAAGAAAAGAAAACGATCCGAAGAATTTGAACCGAACTGAAACAGAGGAAGGAGATTTTTTGACGCAAAAGAAACATTTCAGTTAATCTAACATTATAAAATGGTTATACGAGTTTAGGATTAAATATTGGAGTACCTGAGGTTGTGCGTGATGTGGTGGGTGCTGCATTATTTCCAGCCATCAGGAAAAAAAGGAAGTAAACAGTACAGTATGTTTAACTTCGTCTGCTCACGTTGTCTGTTCTCATGTGCTGTATTGTAGCTGTTTTCAGCTGGTTTTGTGTGCAGCAAATGCAGGAAGCAGAAGCCACAGGAAGGGGGGTTGCAAGAGTGTTAACATGTGTTTAAGATTGTGCACCTGTTTTTACTGACAAACCATAATAGAAACCATGCAATTGCAGATACTATTGTTTTCTTTTTTTGGTCATTTGGATGAATATGTCGTCGGTAAGTCATCTGCTTTCATTTTACAAAAGCATAATATTGCATGACAGTAAATGTGCTTCCATTTATAGAGGTGCAGATGAGGTGGAGGTGTATTAACTCTGTCAGGTGACACTAAAAACACAGTGCTGATTCAAATGTAAAGCAGATCCTCTTTCAAAAGCAACTCGTGACTTTGGGATTCAACTGAAGCTTGAGATTTGACTAAATGAAGCCAATTTCTCCATGCAAATGGTGTTAGGGTTCAGATTTATACTAATTAAGTCATCACATCTCTTATCTGGCCTCACATTTCAAAGACTTTTTAAAACATAATTTTGCTGCAATTTCTAAAGCATTAAACCAAATTGAAGTGCTTTCAGAATCATTTAGAATTAGAGCGCTAACAGGCTCTATTTAAACATCTGCAGTAGCAGTGATAAGCAGCAAGGAGCCAGGCTTTTTCATATGGAAATATAGAAATCATCAACCACAGATTTAAGTTTCATTTACTAAACAGCAGTTTCATCTACACATCACATGTAGACATATTAAGCTGTGCCTCTGGATT